CATGATACCCATGCAGTACACTGAAGCCAGCATTAAGATTCTCACAGAAATGATAGTAAAAGAGGGCATAGACTTGACAACTGTTGTGAATTATGTTAGCTATATCACAAAGATTACTTGCATGGCATAGGCCTTCAAATGGCAATCAGTGTTACACTATGATAGGGAATATAGGAAAGCCCACGCTACACAAGGGTTTCAGTAGGGCACTGACAGTGTTTTCCTCATGCAGTTGCTGTTGACATCAGTAAAAGCCGACCAACCAACTTGCCCCCAAAGACAACAAAGGCAAAGTAAAACAGATCCATCTATGGGCCGGAATTTATTTATGGTCCAATTAATTACTATTAAGTTTGTCTGCTCTCCTTATAGTGTTCTAGATTATGGGAAATAAGGGTCATAAGATCAAAGCAGCTTTTTCAGTATAATCATTGATGAGACACAAAATGTAACAGTTCACAAAAATTTAATATTTTATATCAGAGCTGTTAAAGCTGGGCATCCGTGGACTAAGTTTGAGGCTAACATAACTGTAAAAGATGGCAAGGCAGAAACTGTATTTAATGCCATTTTACTTCATTTAAGAGATAAGGGTTTTGATTTACGTAAAGTTATTGCACTTGGTAGTGATGGAGCAAGTGTTATGTTTGGACGTTTGAATGGGGTGGTTGTTAGGTTCCAAAGAATAATACCTTCAATTGTTCACATTCACTGCTGTGCACATAGACTTGCCCTTGCAAGTGCACAAGCGTATTCTGCAGTGAACTATTTACAGGATTACAAGGACACATTGAATTCCATTTTTCTATATTTTAATGCTTCATCAGTGAGATATGAAAAGCTCAGAGAACTTCAGGAAGTCCTGGAGGATTCAGATATAGTAAGCCTAGCCCAACCAGCCCTGCCGCAAACTGTAGAGTTACAATTGAAATCCCATGTCATTGAAATGGAGAGACGACTCTACGGGTTAAAAGTCCGAGATATGCAGCGACTTGCATATGATGTGGCGGAAAAAGCACAGGTCGTCCATCCGTTTAACAGGAAGCTATGGATGGCAGGGCAGGACTGGGTGCAAGGTTTTCTCTCGCGACACGGCCTAAGCATTCGTCAGCCTCAGTCAACCAGCATCGCGCGTGCTGTAGGCTTTAATAAGCCGCAAGTGACCAATTTCTTTGGCATGTAGAAAGCATGTCTAGACGCCCATCACTACGCGCCGTCCCGAATTTGGAATATGGACGAGACCGGACTTACCACTGTCCAAAAGCCTGGTAAGATTATGGTGGCAAAGGGAATGCCACAAGTCAGTAAAATCACAAGTGCTGAGTGGGGAGATTTGGTGACCCTAATCTGTGCCTTCAGCGCAACAGGAAACTTTGTGCCACCCATGTATATCTTTCCAAGAAAAAGAATGGTCGAAACGCTCATGAAAGACGCGCCACCAGATGCTGTAGGATATGCAAGTCAAAGTGGATGGACAGACTCGGAGCTATTTCTCACGTGGTTGAGGCACTTAGTCAGTTTTACAGCCTGCTCTCGCCAAGACACCCATATCATATTGCTGTAGGCTTTAATAAGCTGATCGTCCGCTTCACGAGGTGCGGCCAGGAAGTTGGCCACTAGGACTGCGTACTTCAGAACAGTCAGCTGCAACCCATGCAGTCAGATGGAGGCGATATTCCCATATCAGATACACCTACCGTTCCTCCACTACAAAACAACCAAGGAATCAGAGACATTATTAACGACCTTTCCCCTCTTCCAAAGCTGCAAACAAAGCGGACAAGAACGCGAAAAACAGAAACTGCGGCAGTGCTAACCTCGTCGCCGTATAAGGCTGCTCTCGCAATGAAAAAAATGAGGAATGGCCGTGTCTCATCTGCTACGAATCTTATAGTCGCACAAGACCGCGGATGTTTGGGTTCAGTGTCAGTCCTGTCTTCTTTGGGCTCATGANATCCTACTGGAGCAACTTATGCTATTGCAAACAATGTGCAGCCGGAGATTGTCATGAAACTGGGCTGAAGGAAAACACCATCAGTGTTTTTTTAACACTATGTACATAGTAAACCCCCAAATTCATTTACCACAGACTTGCTAAAAGGAAAATGACTTGTGTAGTTCATATTTTCTTAAAAGTGAGAACTTAACTTCACATTTAGGGAGTAGGCAGGTTGTCTCTATTCCTGCGCTGACATTTCCTTGTTTTCACTATTTAGGGTAGCAATTCGCTTCCCATATAGTGCTTGTTCCATTTATTGTGTATTTCTTGCACATTTTAGCAATTTTCCATGTTTTGTACTCTTAGCAGTTTCGTCTTTTTTACTTAAGACGTTAAATGTTCTTGTTGTAACCCTTTGACTATGAGTGTTCAACTTATTTTAAGTTTCTTTTTCATATTTTTTCCCTCACTATTTAGGCATATTATTATTCCGACCAAGTGTTGTTCCTGATGACGTAGGTTTACAAAAACTGGAGTCTGGGAACTACACTTGGTCTTATCTTGGTCGCGCAGCGACCTCTATCGTGGTCTTTGTTTGTTGGTGTTTTAAGTAATTGTAAGTTACTTCTATATAATATAGGTCAATTATGTTGAATATGGTGGGAAGTGTTACCAACTATTACTTAGACAATAAAGGCATATTATTATTCTGACCAAGTAATGTTCCTGATGACGTAGGTTTACAAAAAAAATCGAAAGCTGACATTATAGTCAACCAGTTCAGTTCGGTCTTCACCCGTAATTACCATGCCATCGGTAATTCCCCAATTATGACAGGAAAGCGAGTAGAGACATGCCAGTCTTAGTGAAAGGAGACCCAGTGTACATGGCACCCTTTCCTGGAGCCAAGCAATGATCATCATCACTCTCCAAGATCCTATACTATAGTAGAATACAAGGGATGAAACTACGGAAGGTACCTGCGCTTATCAAACTACAGAGCAAATGAAAGAAACCCAAAGCCCAAGATATTGGATATTCCCATACCAGCTACCAAAAAAACACCAAAGAACTAGCTACCCAAGAAATTCCAAAGAAAGAACCAGATCCAATGATAGTTTATACAGACCCAGTATGAAGGCCAAACCAAAGCAAGTTAATACCCCATTAGTGAAAACTTGATTGAGTCAAAAAAGACTCATTACACATGATCAAAGGTGATATCCTTTTCAAAGGGCAGTCATTATCTAAAGCTCACATGATTATATTATTAATAAACAATTTTAAAACATAACCTTTGAAAACAGTACAGGGTTCCAAACAACAGTGAGGGAGTGCTTTTTTCATATTTGCCAGTCGCTTTGGTGGCGTATGCAAGAATTGGGATTAGCACCTCTGTGCAGATGACACCGAAGACTGAGTCAGTGTGTTCGGAAGTTTATGGCGCTGGGTTATTTACCCTTGCCACTGCTATGCCAAAACTTCCGAATGCACTACAATGCTAGTTGGACAAGACAATACATACTACATTAATTCTAGCTCAGAGAGTACTAGCTAGGACAGTATTAGTTCAGACAATTCTTAAAGATGGATTGGAGGTTCGAGAGCAAGTATGTACTGAGTATTAACTTTGGGCGTCCTTGTAAGCACAGAACATAGCAGTTAGAAAGATGTAATGTACATTGAACAGAGACATGCATGTCAAAGGTCAGTCAATAAAATTTACGATGCAGAAAAGGAATTGACACTTGTGTGTTGTTTTTTGAAAAGTTGTCTCCAATCAGAAATCACACAGTATGGCCATGAAAGATGGGGAATACTATACAGAAAGTAGCACAAGCAGTTATCAAACTATTGATGACAAAGACAGACTTTAAAACGGTCATTACAGTTTTTTTTCTTTTATGATATGGTAATGTGTCCTTGGGAAAGCAACAAATAGCACATCAATATATTAGGAAAACTGGGGTTGTGGGTCTGCCTGTGAACTGTTTATGCAAAACAATGTACAATGCGATGAATTGTCAGATTATTTTCCTTTTTTTCACTCCAAAAGTAAGCTTAAATTTTGAATTCAAGATATCAAATTTTAAACTGTACTCCCAGGGGCGGATCCAGAGATATTTTCTGATAGTCTTCCAAATTATCTTTGTTGATCCATCCACCATTTTTGACCGTCTTCCGACAGAAAAAATTAGATACCAGTCAATGTTAACTTGGAAATCTGACCGTCTTCCGGAAGACCCAGAAGACAGCCTAAATCCGCCCCTGACTCCTATTTGCAAATAGGAATGCTGCACCCTATGGAATAAGGGTATCCATTTTTGACATAATACAGTTACATAGTAGCTGAAGCAAAGCAAGGCTGCCTAAGCTTTTTTCTTCTTCTTATTTTACAAATAGGTGGTAGAAAAAACGGATCGTAATCAGCAAATTATGCCATTGGCGCAAAAAAGACTGTACTAGGTAACTGTATTATTCCGTTTCATTCCATATAATACAATGACTTACAAATAATAACAATAATCACGGTATATAATACAAACATTTGCTCGGTAAGTGTGTATTTGTACTGGGTTATTAATCACTCATTGAAATAATAATCCGGACTTGCATAGTATACCTCACATCCTACATTGGTCTAGTTTTTAAGTAAGAACAACATCCTCTATGCTACCTGATATATAAGGCTTAAAAGTCTTTAAGATTCATGTCATAGGAACCATGTGGGACTCAACTATGGTACTATAAATTAACTCACCCCATATTTTTTAAATAAAGCTTGATATTAAATCAGCGATGCCATAGTTGATGATCTATCCTTTCATTCTGTTATATCTTGATTGTACGTTACCTACTCACATCATATTTCTAGTATAATCTTTATATCAATGTGAGTACTTCACATACACACAGTGCCTTTCCATGTGGTCACTAGCCACAAATATCTCCACAGAATTACTGGCAAATATAAAAATATCTTCATTCATAGAGTGTATTTTTAACATTTGTTCTCGTCTAGCTTAAGAGTCTCTTTTTACCTATAGCACCATGAAGTACATCTCTGACTAACGAGAGTGGAGCCACTGCTACCTCTTCTCTTGTTGAAGTCTTTGAGCTTTAAACTTGGAGACTCTCTTCTGTGGCTGTAAGGGAGTGGGGTCTTGAACCTCTGTGGTATTGGACGTGGATAAACTTGACCTTTCTATCACAGACCCTGTGAATGCCTGGATCACAAAAGGGTTAAAAACTTCAAACTCATAAAACTAACAAACACAATGGTTTTGGTTGTCCATGTTTGACAAATCAAAAATCAATTGATATTGTTTTTGCATTAAGGAAATATTTTTATTATTTAGAAAACTTTAAAGTTGTTAAAAATAGCCCTGTCAAATTCTTGTTGTCTGAGCAAGATAACCTGAATGTGCTAGACTGTGAGTCTTAACACAGAGGAAGTAATTTTTCAAACAGCTTCATTCAAAAACTTATTTTTATCAAAGTATTCAAGTTTTTTTTTTACAGTTTATCAAACATCAGAGAAGCCCTTCTTGCTTTAAAATCCACTTAAACAACTGATTCAAACTAAAGCAAGTTCACATTTGTTAAATGTTTCTTTAAAATCTTCACCCTCATGCAAGTGCAAAAACTCAAGCACCCAGCTTTGGAACTTACTTGAGGTGTGTTTGCTGGTTTCAATGCAGGGTTCTGTGTCTCGACATCTTGACATGTGACATCTGACACAGGACCAGGACTACATATAGTCTGAGATCTTCCCTGACTAGTGTAGTCTGTGGGGTGACCAGGGTTACTAGCTTTAAGGATAGACTTGGGTTGGTCTAATGGAGAAGACGAGGCAGCAAACTGCAGGTAGATATCTCTTGGGCTGTTGATTTTGCTCTTTGGCTTTTGGGCATCGCCATTTTCTTCTTGACTGGAGTTTGATGTGGTGGAGTGAACTGTATCCTTTTGTATAGAAAATAAATAAATAAATAAATAAATAAATAAATAAATAAATAAATAAATAAGTGGCAAATTACACAAGCAGGTAAAATCCAATAAAAACCTAAAAAAATTTTCTCCAGTTTTGCAATGTTTACATAGTGACAGACTTCCTAAATGATACCAGTGAATAGTATATTGTTTTTAGGACTAGTCAGACATTAATGTGTAGACCGTTAAAAAGTATAAATGCTTGGGCATTGTGGAGTTATGACTAAGAGTGCATTCCCAGAGAATTAGATCGATCCATTTGGATCGACCTACCTCCATGGGGGTTCACGCTAAATAGCGGTCAGCCGAGCGCGCACGACAGTTAATTACCCCCTTACAGCTTTTAGTAGGTGGGACAGACGCTTAAGCCAGCTAAGCTGACAGTAATCTATTGAGACTCCCCACTGGGATAGATCGATCTAAAATCTGTGGGAATAGGGTCTTATTGTTATAAATGTTAATTCCCACCATGTTCCCAGTACTGTCAATACAAATCAAACATAAATCCACTTACTACTTTTTCAGTGTGTTTGAAGAAAATAGTTTTCCTGGGACTGTTAGATTGTGCCTCTGATGCCTCATCATCTGATTCCGTTTCTTCATTAGTGTCTGCGGCACTGCTACTTCCTGCCAGAAACAAAAGTGAAAGTACTCCAAAGTTCCAAAAATTTATACCGGTACAATTACTTTTTTCAAGAATTTTTATCCAGACAGTACACGTTTTTTCAACACGGTTTAATTATTAATTTTTTAATTATTAATTTTTCCAATAACTTCCACACGGAACAATTATTTGCCATCTAACTTATCAACTGGCATTTTTGACAAGCTTAAAGACTTAGTCTAGTCTGATGCAAGTGCATTGAAAATACCGGGGTGCCAAGTCCGTGACTACTTGTATACTCAGTGCCTTGCCCTCTACTGAACTTTTCCTCAAGAAAGTAGGTCACACATTGATACAAGTAAGTCTTGCCCTGAACATACATTTTCTAGCCTCCATGCAATGTTTTGGCATTTAAATCTACAAGCAGTTTTTTTTTTTTAAAGCAAGTCTTGTGATGTGTATTTTTAAAATTGCCCCTACAGATGATAGCATAAAATGACTAGCATGAGGCATTGTAACGATGTAGTGTGTTAGTTGAGATTGTTTTATATTGCTACCAGTAGATGTCTCTATAAGTAAAGTATAGTCCGGTGTGCAAGTTTGAATCTCTCCTGTGATTGGTAACTTAAAGGTAAAACTGTTCATTGTATAATTGGTTCTGATTGGTAAACATGTACTATCTGATCATGTATATAAGGTGTGACTTGAAATAAATCGGCCTCTTTGGTCTGCTCTTTGGGATCTCTTTTGGCCTTTAGAACCAGCTCTTGGCTTTTTCTTGGTTTTTTGACTCTGAGACACCAGTAAGTACATTGTTCTCTGTACCTTCATAAGGCACTCGGCCACGAAGGCGTAACAGCATGCCCAGTCTGTAACTGTTCGGCGCCAGGTAGTCTTGGGCCTTCCTCTCTTTCTTTTTCCAGGTGGTGTCCATCTCAGAGCTACCTTTGGTACTCGGTTCTCGTCCATCCTAAGTACACACGGGACGAAGAGGAATGATGATGATGATGAGTCTGTAACTAGTTTGTAATGACAAAAAGCATCTGGTGGTGCATCAGAAATAAAAGTACAATAACCATGAAACACCAGGAATCCACTGACCATGATAAAAAACCAGAAATCCACTGACCATGATAAAACACCAGAAATCAACTAACCATGATAAAAAACCTGAAATCCACTGGCCATGATAAAACACCAGAAATCCACTGACCATGATAAAAAAACCAGAAATCCACTGACCATGATAAAAAACCAGAAATCCACTAGCCATGATAAAACACCAGAAATCCACTAGCCATGATAAAACACCAGAAATCCACAGACCACGAGAAAACACCGGAAGTACACTGACCACTATAAAATACCAGAAGTCCACTGTTTCTAATTCCACAGCAAGAGGGTTGAACTCCCTACACGGAAGTTCAGTGAGTCTATTGAGTCATTTAGTCTCTTTTACAGACAGTACACATTCTTAATGAATATTTTCACAGATCACCTACATATCTTGACTTTCCTCGTCCCAAATGTGCACATAAAATATAGCACAGTTGCTAAGCTTGCTTATGCAAAGACTCGGTGAACCATTGATGATGCATGTGCAACTTTTCCACTTATGANGTACAATAACCATGAAACACCAGGAATCCACTGACCATGATAAAAAACCAGAAATCCACTGACCATGATAAAACACCAGAAATCAACTAACCATGATAAAAAACCTGAAATCCACTGGCCATGATAAAACACCAGAAATCCACTGACCATGATAAAAAAACCAGAAATCCACTGACCATGATAAAAAACCAGAAATCCACTAGCCATGATAAAACACCAGAAATCCACTAGCCATGATAAAACACCAGAAATCCACAGACCACGAGAAAACACCGGAAGTACACTGACCACTATAAAATACCAGAAGTCCACTGTTTCTAATTCCACAGCAAGAGGGTTGAACTCCCTACACGGAAGTTCAGTGAGTCTATTGAGTCATTTAGTCTCTTTTACAGACAGTACACATTCTTAATGAATATTTTCACAGATCACCTACATATCTTGACTTTCCTCGTCCCAAATGTGCACATAAAATATAGCACAGTTGCTAAGCTTGCTTATGCAAAGACTCGGTGAACCATTGATGATGCATGTGCAACTTTTCCACTTATGAGCTATGCTATATAGTCTGTACCCATGTTGTTATGCCCAACACTACAGTGCATGTGACATGCCACCTGCCACAATATCATTTCACACAATGCTGTAGCTCTCACTTCAATTCTGTGAATTTTTATGGCATTAATTCACGTGAAATGCTTCTTTGACATGTCAATTTTATTGCTTTTATTCCTGAAAGAAGAGGACATACTTTCCCCATGTAACTGAAACTAATTTCCAATGTCAGGCTTTGGTGTCACAGCCCAGATGGACGACTACTCATGTTACAATATGAACTGACACTGTACACATATCTATCCATCCATCCATCCATTCATCTAAAGACAGTAGTGTCTGCATAGTTATACAAAAGTAATGTGTGTAGCAACCAAGCACTTTCCTACCTTCACTGGTGCTCCCAGCTAATTGTAGTTTCTCTTCATCTTCCCATTTTATGAGTCTGCTCTTTGTTCTGCTTTCTGGAGGTTTCCCATCACCATCCTCATCATCTGACAGTCTAGAAAAAATATTTAATAATCACAAAAACATCTGTATCTGGAAAATACAAACACAAAATGGAATACTACTAGCAGACCTGAATCCTTTAACTACAAATCAGTTTTAGAATCTACAAATCTAACTTTAGATATAGTTTCTTGTTTTAACAATATTAAAATACACAAGGCTGGATTTTACTCACTATTTGGCATTAGCATTGATTTTGCAGATTTAATGACATAATTTCATATGGTTTGCAAGTTTAATCAATATATTCCAACAAGTTTAAAAGAATCTGGGAGATAAAACATGTTAGGTGTGTAGGGTTGGCTGCATGTAACTAGTATATTTGGCATGACTTCTCTGCTTATTATCATATTTTAATTCACTTATTACTCATTTTTTATTTATTCAATGAATATTTTCTTTTGCTAATTTTTGTTCATTTTATTTCCTTATTTATTTTTGTAGATATATGGACCAACCAGTACAATGAAGGAAAGAAAGACTACTTGAATCAGGTGAGTACCATTCATGGTGCTCAGCTGCAAGTTTACAAGTGTAATGTGCTTTATTGCAAAATTTTATTTTCCTTGGGAAATGCTGAACTTATTCATTTTACCATTGCAGCCACCAAATTTTTTACAATCTATTCTGTAAAATTACTGCTTCCTCCTTCACAGGATACGGAAAATGTGCTGATTGTACACACTGTCTAGTCAAAGTCTCATAACACTTTACCATCACGGAGTACCCATTTCCCAAAACCGCACGTGGGTGTTACTCAATTTACATGCACATATGAACTTCCTGTCACAAAACAAGATATGGAAAATTACTTTAACTTAATTAAGATTACTACAAATGATTCCAGTAGAGGTTAAATGCTAATATGAACCTTGTATTTCTCATGGCACAGCTTGTGGTTTACAGGAAAAGTGTCTTTTCCTGTCACTGAATGAAATATGGAGCTAAACTAGTTACTTCGCTCCTTTTATGCTTCAGTTGTCAACAGATTTTGCACACCATTGTAATGTGGCTTTATTTCAGTGAACAACTTACATTGAGCAGTCTTGTAGTATTTATAAAATATCGCAGCTCATGGCAACTAATATTGCCAAGTCAACTTAGTCAAGTCTGCCATCTGAGTTCAGACAGAGAACAAGCTAAGTCCAAAATCCCTACAAAATATCCACTGTATCAAGGCATCAATTACTTAAGCTCTGAATGGACACAAAAGGCTTGTCCCTTAAACTGTTCAGTACATGAAGAAAATCAAACAGTTTAAAATTGCACATTATTAAATCAACACTCAAATTTGAACATCTGCATGGTAAATGGAGGCTGGCTGACATGAATGCCCACCTCATGCAGCTCCTGGTCTCAGATGTCACACTGCTTAGATTTCACCTCAGTGGTGTTTTCACATGATACCACACACACACACACATGCACACACACACACACACACACACTGATATTCCCAAGATATACTATAGTAAACTTTGAGTAAACCTTGCATATTCCATAAAACTGTAACTACAATAAATGGCAAGACATTTAATTTTTCTATAGAATTTTTTTCTTATGGGAATGTCAATGACATCTAACTTTGGCATTTAAAAAATTCTAAAGCGATCATTTCCCCCATGGTAGTCTGGTCATGCCTCAAACATCTTCACATGGGTGTGTATTTCCATCACTACATACATGAATGTCACATGGGATGTCTGGGTGGCATGCATTTCCCCCTTACCCTCCTTCCTTGTAACTCTACACACTCCAGCACTTCAACCTCACCAATATACGGTAATGACTCAATCATTTCAGTGGAGAAAAATTGTGAATTTTACGTGATTGCAGACATCAATTTTTTTAATAATAAGATTTACTGAGTGGTAGCAACAAAATGGAAAAGCAGCTACTCTAAAAGTTCTATTCTATACAGTGAAACTACCACAAATTCTACAAAAAAAAAAAAAAAAAAAAGATTTTTTACTACTTCAAAATTATGTTTTATGAAAGACTGATCATATTTGCCCATTGAGAAGATGGAGTCATTTCCGTACTTAGTCCACACTTATGTACTATCCCCATTGGATTACAAGCTTATTCACACTTAAGGTATGTTAAAAAAAAGGCTACAAAGACAGGATGACAACAGAACTGAAATTTGAATCAGTAATCAGATATATTTACAATTTTGTGAAAATATTTCATCATCTCTATTTCCCACAGATTCCAAATGCCCAATTTGTATTTTAGAATGACCAAAAAAGGGCATTCAGCCAATTTCCTTTATAAGCACGCCAAAGTTTCCATTTTTTAAATATTACTTCAAACTGATGAGATAAGAATCCCCTGCCATAAGAGTATCTCAACAATTCCCTATACATACCTATACATCTCATTATTTCTGGCCTCTTGCATCTCCAGCTCATCAAGGCGCCTCCACAGGTCTTCATTAACCTGGTCTTCCTGCTTGGCTGCCGCTTCGCGTTTCTGCTGGTGATACCTCCGTACATTCTTTCTGTGTTCCTCTGAGAATAATAACATTTTTAAAAATTATTTTAGAAATATTCACAAGCCCAGTATAAAGAAAAATTCAAAGCATATTTAAGAAATTTGTTATTCATACTTATCATTCTGCCACTTGGTAGCATAAAGGGCATGATATCAGTCTGAGCTCAACTGATGAGATTTTGATTTAGTTTCAATTCTTTTCAATAATCAAATACAATGTTCAAAGTAAAACTCACCTCGTTATCCTTCCAAAAACAATAAATACTCTAAACTCATCTTCTAACATGTCAAATGTTTTTAAGTTTACATGCATGATATAATGGTCATCAATCAAAAAACTTGCTTTACTTAAATTAAATGTAACACATGGCCCCTACATGTACGTCTTAAATCTATGACTGTCAATAATAAGGATCACACAATGAGTGCTTTCACAGCTAGGTAGTTTGAAAAAGAGGGAGTTGGGCTTAAGCCAGAATGTTCCATTTTTGTGAATCACTCAAACTGGAAAGGGGATTAGTTTTGGCCGGGGGTCGTCGTAGAAAATAAAGAATCCTTGAACAATCCTAGCAATAATCCTAATAAAAGTGGAGAAGTAACATTGTCTGAGATTTTTTCAAGGATTTTGACCCGGTTTTGTCGAAAAATCGTGGGATTAGCCTCCGATCGCCTCCGATTGCATCTTTTTTTTAGCGATCCGGTCGGAGGCGCCCTTATATACACGGCGATTTACTACGATTCCACCGTACGATTCGTCGGAGACGATCACATAAAGCGTACAAATTGTCGCAGGGCGCCTCCGATTCAGTCGGAGGGCGCCGGAGACTACTCGCAGACATTGAATGTCAACCTGATTTTCCAATCCCACACAGAATCTTGCGACTAGTCTCAGATTATTCAGAGGACGCCTCCGATTAATCGGAGGGCATCGTAGGTCATCGGAGATTGTGTCTGGGATGCCCAAAATGGGTGAAAAATCTTGCGCGCAATCTTAAAATTTTAAGTTCAATGTTGGGGACCGCGGCGGGTGTGGCGATGTCTAAAAAATCTGCAACAACCCGCAGGCGTCCGGAGAGCGCCTCTGACGGGTGCAAAATCGTGAGATCTGTCTCAAGATTTTGTTCAAATTTCCCGGGTTTTACCCATCCCCGACGCATCGCAACTGATTTGTGACTGGCCACTAAACAATAAGCAATGGCTTGATTGAAAGTAATTATACCTTTCCATTTCTTTTCCTCTTCTTCATCATACACCTCCCTGATTTCTCTATGATCAAGACTTTCCTAAGTGAAAAAAGGCAGCAATCAGTTACTTTCAATAGTAACAGGGTGTCATAATACAAGTCCATATTCATTACTGGATGGAAAAAAAACCTTTCAGAAAATTAGGAAAAAGGTAAAACCTTGAAAAATCAAAATTTTGATTCAAAAGTATAGCAAAACTGGTATAAACTGAAAAAAAAATGTTGAAGTGGAAGTCTACATCAGATAACAAAATTTTTTATACTTGAAAACATAGTCGAAAAACTGGCATAGAACTAATTTTGTACAGACTTGGCAACAGCTTCACAAAAAACTCTAAACAAGCAGTGTTTGTATTTCACATGTAGAAGTAAGCAGAGTGATCTAATCATTAAGTTGGTCTTATATTAAAGATTTGCTCCACAAAAAAGCACAAACATTTTTTTTTTTGGGGGGGGGGGGGTAAACCACTTCGCGCACCAACTTCTGGGTTGCACACAATTCAAAACTGTGTGAAGACATTTGACAAGTGGCCAGGTTTGTTTATAAGGGGGTGAAAACTTGGATTATTTTTGGTTACATAATTCATCGTATATATTTGTGCAAACTCAATAAAAAAGTTTAACAAGATGTGGTTTAGGTAATTCTAGGTGAAAAGCAGGTGCTTAAAATCTTATGCTTCGCCCCTTTAAATCAAGTGAATGGAATCCAGAAACCATTTTGTCATTTCATAAGGTCAATATTTTTAAAGTAGTTTCAAGGAAGCGATGTCTTGCTCATGCTTTTTTTTTTAAACTAAAATTTCAACCAAAAGGTTTCTGTATAAATCTCTATAAAAAGCTTAAAGAGTCAGCCTCAACTGACTACTAAAATAAATTAATACAAAATTTAAGTGTTATTTGTTGATTTTTTCTGAACCGTGTTGAGGTAATGCAGACAACTTATTTCCTTATTGTCAAAACTAACCAAACAGAGGGCAGAATGATAATAAGCTCACAGAGCCTACACATAACATCCCCTGTTTTAAACATTTCACACTTCTCTAAATGACATATTTATACCTCTAATTAATCTGTAGTTATTATTTTTTAATTGCTTTCTATTAAATACCTGAAAACATTTGACTATGCTTTTTTGATAACTGTGAACATCAGTTACGAAGAATCTAAGATTAAAATCTGCAATCAGATATCACTCTTAAGCATTGGCAAATCAAGTGAAAAGTCAAGTTCCAAAAATATTTCAAATATTTTGATGTAAAAATCTGAAACTACAGGCACTTGAAGAGGCAAAGAGGCAGAAAAGGGTTGTAAAGGGGAAAATTCAGATGGTTTGCTTCAATTCACAAATAACTTGTTGCTTACCAAATTTTTTATTTCATGCTATTGCCAAAAATCTTACAGTAACAAATGCCAAAATTTCATTTTTCAAACAAAACAATTTTACTGGAACGGAGAAGATCGGTTATCCCTTCTTAGCTGTAAATGTAAATGTAAAATTTGCAAAATGGATATTACCATGGCAAACCCCATTTCATTAGTCATTATGATGAAATACCTGTTAAAACATGGTACAAAATCTTCACATTTAACAGATTCCTTACCACAAGTTACATCACTGGCACTGGGAACTTCAAATTTATTACAAAATGCAGTTTTTTTGGCTAACTTGTGGCTGCCAAAGAGAAACTGGTCTCTTTTTAGCTCTCTTTCTGATATGCCTTCATCCAGCAACTTTTGAGGAGGTGGACATTGAGTTGATTGGATCAGGGTATGATGAATCAGATTATGATGACCTTAACAACAACTTTTTATATGGAAATGAAGATGGATTGAACTTGGATCCCAGCAAAAGTTATCCAGTGATTCAAAATTTAAAAAGTTTGCCTAAGGCCAAAGTGGAAGAGGCAAAAAACAAGGCTAAGAATGGTCCCCGAAGAAAAGACAATACAGGCAGCGAAAGTTTTAAAAACTCTGGTGAAATTTCTTCAGACAATCTCGGTAAAGACTGGCTTGGACAAGGAGTTGCTGAGGATCCTTTCCACTTAACAGACAGAACACAACAGCATGACAGCAAGAAGGGTAAAAAGAAGGACAATGAAAAACAGTCAAAAGACAAGGCCAAGAAGGCCATCCAGAATGATGGTGTCACTGACAAAAACAATCTACGCCACTATGTTACTGTTGATATGCGGGGAGCAGCATGTTGTCCAACTCAAAGTTGTCAGAGCTCTTGTTTAACTACCAGGTAAGAATGCAATATCACTGTCCCCTAATTATCTAGTGTCCCATTCCCAATGAAAGCGTCATTCAACATAGATCGTTCCAACTTTAATTTGTTTGGTTTTGTAAATAAATTGTCAAATCCTACTTTTTCAGTAAATGAAAAAAAAAAAAATACACCTGGAGTCATTAAAAAGAGCATTTACAAAATTTAAGTTAAAATCATAAAGAATTAAGCAAACAGTATTCTTTCATACATTAAAGGCATACTGGATGAAAAATATTTAAAAATAATATCTATTGATTTCTTAAAATGGATTTTTGTACAGATTATCTAATGAGATATGAAAACCTTACATGGCAACCTGTTTGTCAGATTTTTTTCTCTTGCAGAAACTAAAAACCAGAAATTAGCATAATTTACTGGCATTTAGTGGTAAAACATTTATATGATTTTACCACTTGCTAAGGGTGGTAAAATGTTTTCAAAATGCACTCACCCGATGGAAAGTGCTTTGCCTTCAAAGAAAAGTGCCCGACCTTCTAAATGTCTCAGTACACATAAAATATGTATTATTCATTATCTTACACAGCTCAGTAGTTGTGACAAACATGCAGTTACTATCAGTTAGATGTCTAAATCACTGATAAAACAACTTGATAACATGACACCCACCTCTTTTTCTTAATGAAAAGATTAGCACTCAAACGTTGAAGCCTTTAAAAATTCTAGAAAAGACCCACCTTGGCCCAGCAGAACCATATCTTTTAACTTTAAAATTACCCAAATTGCATGTTTTGCAAAGATTTCCCAGCAGAAGGGGACCCCCCAACTCTTCAGCCCTAGTTTTACAGTACTATGTACTGATGGATCAAATAAACCTTGTTGAATCCAAGTTGGCTTTTGTAAACTGAATTACTTCCAATTCATTTTCTCACTGCACATTTTTATTAAGTTACCCTTTTTTCCCCTCCAGCTTTATTGATGTAGACATAACTGTTTTTAAGTTTAAGTTGGTCTTTATGTTTCAAACCTCTTCTTGATATGAAAGCAAATTATTCTCTTATACACACACTCACTCATAATTACGACTTAATTTTGAAAAAATATATTTCAGCTCTTCTCAGGCCATCTCTGACCAGTTACGCCAGCTGCGCAGCGATGTTCAGTTTTCTGTGAACTCTCTGTCCATGGACCTGAGGAAACAACTAGGGCAGATGCAGAAGCAATTGCTGGCAGGAATAGCTCATAATAACTACAGGCCAGGTAAGACAAATGAATATATTAGAACAAAAGCAACTTTTTACCCATTGTAATATATATAACTTATCCGTACAATCAATTGGTCATAAGCTCTGGTTGATCAGAAACAAGATGGCTGCAAAAACCAAGTACTCCCCAGGTGACAACAAAACTGTTCTCAGTAATGCTGGTTCAACCTCTCATTATAAGACCCAGCTTTTTGGGCCGTTGGATTCATATCAACTCCTCATTAAATGGGCATAGAATGCTGTTCTCTTTAGATCTTTATCTAAGAGCCCCATGGAAAGGCATATGGGTATACACACACATACACACACACACACACACACAATAATAATAATAATAATAATAATAATAATAATAAGTCAGGTATATTACCCTTTCTTGGTGATCAAGTGTATGGGTGGTAATGGCTGAATTTTTTCTTCTTCCAAGATGCCAAATGAAAAACTTGTCTGAAACATTTGGCCCTCCCTGTCCTCTTCTTAATTTGCCACATTCCCACAGTTGTGACACAGTTGGATACCATTTTCTCCTGCATCATTGGGGGGGAGACAGAATGCATTTTGGGGCAAGTAATTTGCAGAACAGGATTTCAATTTAGAATAACTCCTGGCTATATTCGATTTAAAAAAGTATTTATACCTTTCTGCCACAAGTAGTTAACAACTATTAACCATTAAATACGTGAAAGAGAGAGAAAAGACTTGTAACACAGAACTTCAACAGCTGGGAAAATCTTAAACTTTTCTTGCCTCGCTTGACCCTGGCAATAGGACATCTTCCAGCATTAACCTCACTGGGGTGAACTTAACAGCTGGGAGGTTAACTTAAAGAAAGAATGCACATCTTTCATATGTAACTTCTCTTGCCAATTCACAAACTTACATACATGCTCATGGACACAAACATCTAGGTTTATTCTACCACACAAATTTACTTGTCAAATGCATCTCAAGCCAGCAGGGCACTTATGGTGGAGATCAAACAACAGTTACTGAAAGGTTAAACCAACAAAACCACATATCTACCTCGACTTGACAAAGATCTTGCCAGAACATTAGCTTATGTTCACTGATTCATACAAATGGCAAATCATTTGTGAGTGAAACTGTGATTTGAGTGTGCTGCCAGATCATCTATCCAAATTCTATACCACATCAAGATTTCTCACCAACATACAGGTTTTAACCCAAAATGGTATCACAAAGGCATAAATCATGTTGTGCATACAAATATGAACTAATATCCATGTACGGAATCATGTCAATTAATGCCGAGGTGAGCATCTGCACAAAACACCAATAAGAATAGTTTTACTAAATCACATCCAAGATTAATCTTTGGAAAGCAAACACATTTGATTCCCCCACCCCCTGAGAAGCAAAATCTTACAAATCCCAGTATACTTGTATACAGTAATATACATGTTTACTGGGATTTGTAAGATTCTGCTTCTTAAAATTAAGATTAAAATGTTTAAAAATTTTATCCAGATCAAAATTAAAAGAAACTTGGGTCCCCACTAACTCAAAACATCTGTCCATATGGTATTCTCATTTTTTTCTTAGTCAATAACCTACACTTTACGTCTTAAATCAGTTCAACCAGATGAAATGTTTCTCTCTTACTGGGTTATTTTCTTTAAAGACAACATAACAAAACATAAATTTAAATATTAAATGTGGAGTTGTCCCAGAAATTAAGGGTTATTTTTCATGAAAGTGCGTCAACACTTCTTAGACAGAAACCCTACTTTAAGCAATTTTTTCTTGATTTATATTTAAGTTAATGAGTGCTTGGCAATCTGACTACAAGATATCTATGAGAAAATAGAAGAAGTAAAATGTAAACATATAAGGAGAAGAAAATTGCAACAGACCCAGCAGGAACAAATTACCAGCGTTCAACTTGAAGGTCAATGGAAAAAATGAATCTGGAACACACCTACTAGTAACTACACTCCTGTTGTTGTTAATAAAATTATGTATCCTGCCCAAATCCTACTTTGATTTACTTCCAAGATTTACTTTTTTTCTTGCCATTCGTACCAATCCTTACTTCGTAAATTTAAAACTGCTTATATACTAAAGCAAGAGATTGGTGTAACAGAAATGAGAAAATAATGAAATACAGTAGACTCCTCATAACTCTGACACTTTGGACCAAAACATCTGTTCAAATTTTGCAAAGTTTCAAGCTAGGTAATATCAAAGAGAAAAAATGCCATTCCAGACTACATACCATGAGATTTGTTGAGATCAACTATAATTCAAGTTATAAGGCTTATCTGTATCTCAGATAAACCATAGTATACATGACAGTTACCAGGACTAAATCTCTGGACCTTGAGACCAATTCACTACATGTAGGCTGTATCCCTACACTTATATCAGCTAATGAAAATAAAGTATTTGAAACATGTATTTGTGTTCACCAATGTGTCACACTTATAAAACTGTATGGAAACATATCTACTAATAACATAAAATTTGTATTTTTAACTTCTATATGATTTATAAAACATTTTTCAGATCTGAACACAGCAGCCCAGAGTGGCAGTCAACCACAGGTGGTATTTTCGCCCTGCCCCCCAGGGTTCACGCCATTCCAGACTTCTTGTTACGTGTTCGAGTTGCATCAGACAGACTGGGTGTCAGCTAATAAGATGTGCAGAGACCTTCATGCTGCGAACCTCGTCAGTATTGAGTCCCAGGCAGAGCAGAATTTTCTCAAGAATCACATCAAGCGGAATAAATTGAAACCAGGTACAGAATTCTCTGTTAGCTACCACTCAGGCTCTGTTTGATATCTGTGTATGTGCAAGAGTGTCTTAAGGCATTTCAAAGGAATTTGTTCACAGCAAAATTGGTGCAATGTACAAACTGATGCAAGTTTATAACTGCCAAACCCATTTAGTTCCATGACCATATTTTTAAACTGGTGCATTCACAGTTAATTTTTCCATCTGAAACCAATGTAAATCAAATTTATCCTTTCCCCAACATCTCAGGGTTTACTTTTTGAATCTTTTCCTATGATTTCTATAAATAAATTAAATCATGTTTGTTTTTTTTTTTTTTTTGTTTTTTTTTTTTTTTGCATCACAAAAAAACTTCTATATATTGAAATTCTTCTCTATACAAAAATGATGAAACCATCTTGAGGGAAAATCCAATTTCTGAATACTTAATCTTGAGTTTTGTGCCAAAAGGCAAGCTTGGTAATATGTACCTCCCCTACTCAATGTAAATGTCATCAGTTCTATATGAACTTCTGGAAACTTGAAGTTGACTTATATTTGTTTAGTCTTGCTATCATAAATTAATATCTTTATGCAAATAAAGCACACTTCAATATTGAATCTTTATTCTATAATATACTAGTCACTGTTACGGTATCTAGTTTCAAATACCAAATAGTCTCTTAAACCAGAGTGTTTTAAACATTAAACATAATGGTCAAATGCTCAATTTATATTCATTCCATGTTTTAGAAATCCCATACAAACACTGGGGTTTCTGGACCAGTGGTACTGACCTGGACAAAGAGGGGGTGTGGATATGGCATGGCACAAAGAGACCTGTCACATTCTCAGCATGGGGCGGCAATCAGCCAGATAATAACTACTGTCGCCTACCAGAAGGGTGTATGCACATGGTAGGCTCATACGATTTCAAGTGGAACGATCTGCCTTGCTTTATCAACCTGAACAGTTTCATCTGTGAGCGGCCACAGAGAGGGGTGATTAACCTGATGGAGGAGACTTTGACTAAATATCGGAAGTGACCAGGTGTTCACAGCACACATACGTCGTGATGCAACTGTTCTACATAACACCATTTTATGGTTCAATCAAGAATGTTTTAAACAATGTCAAGAACATGTTCAGGACGGTATATTTTAAAACCAATTATCAATTTCCAAAAGATATATTGAGATATATTTTGTGCAACAGAGATTAGTAACATCAGGGAGAAAGAAAAATGATTACGAATTAATTTCTTCATCTATACCTGTGCTACATCTCGGGTAAAATGTCTCCTCGATTCCAAAAGTTTTAATTCTTCAGAAAAGTCCCCCAGACTCTTGTCTACAGCTGAAAAATACAATTAGAGTCTACATGTATTTTGCAAAGGATACCTCACCAAAACTAATGTCTTTATTGCTGGTTACAAAGACTTCTGTGTCATGTGTTAAAATTAGCATAATTATTGTAAGTGTCACAAAAATTACATGGTTTCAATGCCTGCAACAGTTAATAGTTAATATTAATAATTTTAATATTTATTGCAGGGTATTTAATGTATTTGTTAATATGGAACCACAGAAATATAATCATAACAATAAAAAGTATAATTTTCTTCCTTTTTCAAATAAATTACTTTAAAAATGTGCCAATGTTTGCCTTCACTTACCAAACAATGTTTTAAAGGTATGTAAATATAAGTAGAGAATAAAAATTATAAATCCTACGTCTTATGTACAGTTACTTCTTCATTCCATTTAATTACCTCATGTTATTACCTGCAATTCTCCTGTCCACTATTTCTGAAGCCTCCTTAGCTGACCTCTCTGCAAACCAGTTATCTCCCAGCAGCACTAGTATCTCATTAGTGTGGACAAGCTGGCCTGGCATGAAGGCTACAGATGTGAAGGGAACCTGGACACAAAAATATTTATCTTAACATAATGGAATGAGATAGCCCAAACACTTCAATCAGCCATCTTCTGATGAAGCACAAATTAAAACTTGTTCATTAAACTACGTCATCAAGTTATATTTTAATTAACTGCCACATACTTGAAATTGAGTACCACAAACTTTTCTGTATATATATTTTTATTTAGTCATTCTATTATTCACCAAATGAAATTTAATAAAAGTATCATTTTCATAAGTCAAAGTAACCCAACTTCAGCTTCTGACTAATAAATACATTTCTTAAGACATTGCTTGCAAGATGTACCAGTGGTGGCAACTTTATAAACCTTCTTCCCCCATCCCCCAAAAATGTATTACTTACTGATAAACAAATAAATTGTATGATTTAAAAATAAATAAATAAATAAGTCTGTGTGCTATTCTAAATATTCCTTATTACCATTATATCATGTGTAACTTTATCAGGTAATGTTGTCAAACGCTCCTTTAAAGCAACATAGTCATCTCTATACTTGTTCCTGAAAAGAAACCAAGTAAATTTTAATATTCGGCTACAGGTACTCTCTGCATATAAATATGCATGCTAACTTGTTTGTGATTAGTGCAAAAATTTATGTATTAGCATTCCTACTTACATTTGCTAAAACATACTGTGTATGTTAACGCATGAAAGATTGAAGCGTACATTTTCAACTGTGAGCAGTGTGGAACTTGAGGAAAGGAAAGTTTCATAAAAATTTAAGGGCCCCCACATCCCGGTGGATACACTAGCCAATCATCATGTTGCAATTACGTGCACTTATATCTTTATATAAGTGTTCCCACATAACAGAATGCATCTACCTAACTCCCTGGGGGTTCACACTAAATTGCAGTCAGCCGAGCACGCACGACAGTTAATTACCCCCTTACAGCTTTTAGTAGGCAGGACAGTCCCTTAAGCTGGCTAAGCTGACAGTAAACTAGTGAGACTCCCCACAGGGATAGATCGATCTAAAATCTGTGGGAATGGGATCTAAGGGTGCATTCCCAGAGATTTAGATCGATCCATCCGGATCGACCTAACTCCCTGGGGGTTCACGCTATATTGCAGTCAGCCGAGTCCGCACCATAATTAATTACCCCCTTACAGCTTTCAGTAGGTGGGACAGACGCTTAAGCCATCTAAGCTGACAGTAATCTAGTGGGACTCCCCACGGGGATAAATCGATCTAAAATCTATGGGAATGGGGTCTATGAGTGCTACCACGTTGAACTTTGAGTTGCGTATGAAGTGTTTTAAAAGTTTTTGGGACACGCTGTAAAAATTACAATAACAAACCCTCACCACTGTTTAACCTTTTCCTGTATTTTCTGCACAGCTTTCTCAAGCTCTGCCTCAAGTCTAGCAACATGGGCTGGCTCCATATCTACACAGTAAAAGACTTGTATTAAAATTGTAGCTTCAATTCGTAGTTGGGGAAATTATTACACGTTAGGTGGTCTTTGAAAATTTTGTACGGTATCTTTTTAATTTTATAAAATATGAAATAATCCAAATGTCCTTACCCTCACATGTCTAGGAACTGCAACTACGATTCAAATACCTAAGATAAAAGTATAAAGCAGATTTATGTTTTTCAAATCGCCAGAAATGCTAGTCTACTAGCTAAGTCTACGCAGATAAATTTCAAGTTTTGGAGCCGGTCAGCAATTGCTGTTTGGAAAAATTCCACTCCACTATTAAAAAATTCTATGCAAAATTAATGTTTCAAACTTTGCTGAATCATCTTTGTACAAACAATATTTACCAGTCAAAAAGAAAGAAATGGCACAGCAGCAGCCGACATCACTCCCGTGCAATGTGCAGCTGCAATGTGCGACCATGCCAACGCTTACATCATGTAAAATGATTGTTATTTTTTTTATACATACAACTGCATGTATTTTTTCTGTACAAAGATACATTTTAGATGAATTCTTTTTTTTTGTGTTGCATACACTTTGAAGACTGATATATTTTACACATAAATTGATTTTTTAATGATGTAAGCGACTAGTCGACAAGCATGGCGAGTAGGTCGCTGTGTTCAGCCGGTGTGCTTGCAAAATGCTTCAGTATTTCTCAAACCAGATGTATTCTAGACACAAAACCCTTTTTCAGGTAAGCTTTTTAAACCATGATATTGCATGTAACGCATTATCGTATTATACATTTTTTTTATATTTAATTCAAAGTGTTATAACATTCATATATTGCCTCCTTCAGGCTTCAATTTCAATTCCAAATCATATACTGTAATCAGAGATGATATTTGTCCGATTTTCGGCGGATGTCCCACTTTTTGGGAGCCAGAAATAACATTGACAAAAAGCCTCTGTTTTTGAATACTCTGCATGGAAAAATATCTTTTGATGCACTAGCTCTCCACCACGAGGACAATTTTGACAACTGACAGGCCTACAGTAGTCACAAGCTAAAATTTCAAAACTATTGAATCAACATTTGATATATTAGTATCAGAACATTGTTACATGGAAATTTAGTAATAAAAATTAAATTTAATCAAATCTATTGAGTAATAACCAGGGGGTTTCCACAGGATTTGGGGTACAGGAAGTCCAAAATATGAATCGGCAATTTGGTCATTGATTTACAGAGTCCAACCCAAGTAAACCCAACCAACCAACCCAAAGATTTTGTAAGCCGTCCAGCTGTCTTTATAAATATAAATATAAATGTATGCCATCTTTTAAGGCTAATAATGGTCGTCCATATGATGGCTGGACTGCTTCCCAGGGAAAGTCTGGTTAACAACCATATTTCATTGAATTTAATTATCATTGCTCAATGTTTGATACAGGGTCCTAGTTCCAACACATTACCAACAGCAGCGCGGTGTCAGAAAGCGTCCACCAGAACCTTTTGCCAGGAAGCGCAGGGCCAGGATACAGGACAGTGGACTGAGCCCAGCCAATGAGAGCTTCCTCCAGGAGGTCATAGCAAATGAGGCGAGGAGCAAGGTGGAAGAGTTGGCCAAAATGAATTGTCCTCTTAAAGATGGTCCATGGGCAAGGGGGGAATGGAGGAAGGGGTAATTGTAAAATGAAAATTATGTTTATTTGTGAAAGATTTTGTCTTGATCATTATTAGTTTAGACTAATGATGACCACATGAAGAGAAGTAGGACATTTTCAGGTATTGTGAGAGCACTTATTTATGTTGATGTCAAATGGCTGTATTTACTCCATTATTAATAATAAATGTTTTGTTGTTTTCACTCCTGAATCAAGGTATACCAGTTGAAATGTATATTGTAATGTAAATGCATCCTTATGAAAGATAAGCATATGTCATCATTG